TATCTTTTTCTTATTCTCCCCCCCCCCCCCCCCCCACACACACACACACGCACAGAGTTGTATCTTCTTTTGCTTGACTTTATGCTGATAAATAGTACTGTTCTGCACCTGCTGAAATTGCAATTTATGCCAGCTCCCCAGTGATCTCAGCCCAGCTCCATGTCACTTAATGAAGGTGACAAAGCTGGTCCAAAGCAAATAATCAGCAACAAACAATCGAGAGAGAGAGAGAGGGAGAGAGAGGGAGGGAGGGAGAGAAGGAGAGGGAGGGAGAGAAGGAGAGAGAGAGAGGGATAGAGAGGAAGAGAGAGAGGGAGAGAAGGAGAGGGAGGGAGAGAAGGAGGGAGAGAGGGAGGGAGAGAAGGAGAGAGAGAGGGAGGGAGAGAGAGAGGGATAGAGAGGGAGAGAGAGAATAAATTTGTTTAACATGACAATTTTAGGGCACCCTGTAAAGCTCTGAAAGTCTATGCCGATATTGACTTTCTGAATGTTGGCATCTTGGCACATCCCTGACCTTGGGACAGCCAAAGCATGTTCCTTTACAGAAAGACACTGTGTTGCAGCAGCTTTGAAAATAAATACGGATCCTTTTCCCTCTTAAGAAAGTTATTTTGATTATTTAGTTAATGCCAAACAGGCTTACATGTATATCTTTGTTTTATTTATTTATTGTTGCTGTAAACAAGCTGCTTATGGTTATACACTGAGTGGCCAGATTATTATGCCTGAGGTGTCGCGCGTGTCGGGATCCTCTGGCAGTCGCCGCCAGCTCAATTAGGACCCCACCTGGAGCTCCTCCCACCGGACCAGCGCTGACTCGCCGCTGCTCTCCCGCACCGAAGGTAAGTGAAAAAAACAAAAAAACATAGCGTAAACATCGGGGCATTTTGACAAGTACAAGTACTTGTCAAAATGCCCTGTTTATTCCGCCCTCACCCTGGAGCGCCATCAGGCGGCCGCCTGACTTGCCTTGCGGTAGCGCCGGGCCTGTATGCGCACCTAACGCCTGTTTGCATGCGTGTATGTATGGGGGGGACTTTAAAAAAAATGTTTTTTTTAATTCTTTTTTATGTGTAACTTTAAATTTTTTGGGGGAAACTTTATTTTTTTATGTGATAGCAAAATAATTGACAGGTCCTCTTTATGGAGACATCAGGGGTCTCCAAGACCCATAATGTTACCTAGGACCCCCCTGAAGAAGCTGATGAAGCAGAGATCTGAAGCTGGAGAGTGACACAAGAATGCGGAAGTTATGTAATATACATCAGTTCTGCATTCTGACAGCGGAGAGGGGACCGGAGGGAGTCCATGTACCGAGCTCCCTCTGATCCCCTGTGAGAGTGGCACTATGCTGGTCCCCAGCTCGCACCGGGCACAGTGGAGCCCGGGGGCCAGTGGGAGGGGGGAAGCCGCTCTATAGCCGGCGGATCGCTTGTATGTTAACAGGCATCGCTGCCTGTTTTTAAAAACCGGGCATTTCCCGCTTGCGCGTGCCCAGCTGCGCGCGTGAGGGGGCGTGGCTGAGCGGACGTCTAAAGACGCCCGCTCAGATCTAGAGAGCTCCTGGCCGGCCGTTTTTTTACAACGGCCGGCCGGGAAGTGGTTAATCTTACTTTGACATTTTTCTCCCTGATATAAGATTAGAACTTGCAAAATTTTCACAAAGTGAATTTATACAATCTATAAACATGGTGTATGAATATTCAAACTCTGATATTCACTTAAAGTAGAATAATGATTCACTTTCTGGATTAAAAAAAAATCAATTCAGTGACTTTAGCTTCCTTTTGTACACTGAAGGCACATCAAGGACATGTCAACATGAAATCTGTATACCATTATCAAAGTGATAATTACCTGGTCATACTGCAAGGCCCTGTGGGATAGGCTGGCATACTGAAGGCTTAGGCGATTCTTGTCTTGTACAGCATCTTTTAATTCATCTTCCTACAACAAACCAAACAGGAAAGAAGTGACTTAGTAGAGCTTGACATAAAATGTAACTTTTATATTTAAAAACATTAATAAAGAGAAACAGTAACACAATATAATATTATAACAAAATACATAAAAATACCAGAGTCCTCAAGTCCAACATGTACTGCCCTAACGTTTTACTTTATGGCCATTTTCAGCCATCTTTGGTATATTTGCTGAGTAAAATTGGCACTTTTCTGCTCTTTCTAATTTTTAAAATAAGTGTCACACTTTAGCAGTATTGTTTTACACACAAGAACCCCATATATAGTTAAACCAGAGCGCTACTCTCTCTTTTAAATTAATCTCCCTGACTCCCTCCCCCCCTGCCACAATCTGAAAAAGCTTTTTTTTTGGTTATTATAAGTAAAGCCTTGTCAACAGAAAAACTAAGCCATCACTTAACCTACCTATGTAACCTAACTTATAAACCTAAAATTGCCTACTATCTAAAAAGCCAATGGTAACCAAGGCTTGGCAAACAAATGGCTTGAAGGACAACTGTACCTTTACTGTACCTTTACATAAAGTAGACATGCCCTGCTCCCCTCCTTTGCTCTCCCCATCCAACAGAAACCCCATTCTACTTACCTCAGCTCAGCCGATGAGCACCCTCTCTGTTGGTTGTGGCCCACACCAGCTAGGGTGCCTACAGGCCTGCTCTCTGAGTTGGTGGGCTGTAGCATACAGCTTGTGCACAAAAGTTACACTTTAGGACCTAATGGAGAATCTGTTTACCTGCAGGTTAGCAAATTGATGGAATAGGTTCTGGAGAAACTGCTATCCTTGAGAGTACACCTAAGCTTGTCAGCTTAGTAAAGAAGACTGGAACCACCTGTGCCTGTATAAACTATGGCTGGTATGTAAAGAAAAGGATAAAGATCTTTAAGATCAGGACGGCAACAGAGTGCCATAAACATTCGATTTGGATTTTGGTCTCTGCCTGCCCTGACATTATGTCCAATTCTTTAAATTTTGCAAATGCCCTGAATTGACCATGCTCAAAATTTGGTACACTATTTGGTCCTGTCTGAACTGTCATTAGCCAAGGAATCCTTCCCACTCCAGTAGTTTTCCTAGAGGAATTCCCATCTCCACAATCTAATGAAGACAAGGAACTTCTTGAGTCTGCACCTCGGAGAGGGCCTTAAATCACATGCTTGTAATAAAGAGGATCCACTGTCCATTCATATTTCCCGGCTGAAGCTACTGGCAAGGAAATGAGTGTAGCATGTAAAATGAATGCTTACCAATTCTAACAAATTTTCTCTGTGGTCCACACAACTGGCTTTTTTGTGTGATCATGCGACTATACCGCAGTCTGGTCCCTGGTCCACTTTTCAAGACCCCCGGCAGCCCAGTTCCAAAAAAGGAGCATAAGCAAGACAGCATTTTAATTCATGTCCTTCTGCATGAAATCAATACTCATATTTATAGTGACTGCAAAGCAGTTTATTCAAAATTGCAACATGAAAGTCCACAGCGACTTGATGTTAGCTACATCATCTCAGTGTGAAAGTCAGTCTGTAACTCTCTGAGCTTGGCCCAAAGCAGAGTTTTTTTTCTCATGGTAGATCCGCATCTGACATGAATGAAGGTTATAAAAAAAAGTTGGCAAGGGACAATGTCAGATAGCATATTAAATATCTTATTATTGTGTTTCAGTGATTGAAAGAAGACAGACTTCTGATACTATAGATAGATACTATACATTAAGAGTGCTTTAGGTATAACTCGCATCACTGCTTGCAGGGTTTGTGATTAACAGGTATTCATTTGACAGGATTTCTTTAGTAGCATGCAGAGAAGATTGTATGTGGTTACAATGAGTTTATGGGATTTGTTTTTCAGGTGAAAACGCATCATTCCACAACCAGCATGACTTGCCAAGTACAGATTGGTTGTTGGCCAGTCTAGCTCATTAAATCACTGCTCTCTATAGCACTGCTGAGTGGACATCTGCCCAATTCCATTTGTAGTCAGCCTATCAATTTGCTACATGCAGAGCTGCAAATTGCTCTGTAAGAGCTGTGTGTTCTCCGACCTCTTACCATCGCAGGGAAGACTATATTAATATGATGAAAGCATTTAGCACACTTATAACAAACTTTACATGCATGTCTTTAGAAGAGACACAGTTTCTATAATGAAAGCAAATCACTCACTGCAAGTCTATTTTATTTAAAGCATTGGTTCTCAACTGGTGGGTCGTGACCCAAAAGTGGGTCGCGACCCCGTGTTCAGTGGGTCCCCGGGCGCCTTTCAATTTTCGAGGTGAGAAAAGCCTCCCCCTAGCGCAGCACTGTCAGTTCTTGCTCCAAGCAGGGGCGTATTTACCGCGAGGCAAAGTAGGCGTTTGCCTAGGGCGGCACCTTCCTGGGGGGCGGCCGTAGTCAAACGCCTATGTTGTGAAGAGGAGGGGAGAGCCGGAGCCCGTCTGTGTGTAGGAGTGGAGGGCGGCTTGCCTGCTTGTGAAGAGGGTGGGAGGACGGATGGAGCCGGACAGCGCAGCCGACGGATGGGATCGTGACTCAGAAAATGAAAAGCAGCCGGCGGCCACTTACTCGATCTCACTGCTTCCTGGGTCACAAGCGGCCGAAGCTTGGCTTGCCTAGGGCAGCCAAATACATAAATACACCACTGGCTCCAAGCAGCCATTCAAAATATGCTGCCCGGTTCTGAGTGTCAGCTTGAGGTGGGGTGGGCTCCATCCATACGTGATTTGCTTACAGCTCCCTCGCATGTCCTGTATAGGTGCCTGGACCGGAGTGACATCACATTCTGGCTCTCGGCAGCTCTACAGGGAGTTTAAGGGAGCTGTACAAGCATTGCACATATGGATGGAGCTCCATCACAGTACAGCAGCCCACACCGGACCCCAGGCTAAGGATCCACTCAAGTTCTCATAAGGTAGGGAGACTGGGTGGATCTTAAAAAAAAGAACAACATTTTTTTTTTGGAGTGTGTATGTGTGTGTGTGTGTGTGTGAGATTGTGTCTGTGGTTGTGTGTTTTTGAGGGCCCATTCACACTAGTACAGTGCGTTAATCGCACAGTCCTGTGCGATTAACGCACTGTACTTCGCAATCGCGCGTGTTTTGGTGTGAGAAGTGCAATGCATTGCCATTCATTTGAATGGCACTCCAAATTGACCTCCCACCCACAGTTCTATTGCCCGCATTGGAACGTGCAGTACCGCAATGCCGTGCATTCTATTGCAGTGCAACTTGGGTCACGACTTAATAACCAAGGACAAATGTGGGTCCTGAGGTTATACAGGTTGAGAACCACTGATTTAGAGCACAGATTTCTTTTAGTATATGCAATGCATTCTATGAGATAATACAAAATATCTTGCAACTAATATTTATCACCATAAATATGTCAAATATATTATTTATATCTACCAATAGAAAAAACTATTACTAAACTATTACGGTAATTATAACAGTCAAACAGTATTTTGTCACAAATGTAGTCTTTTAAAGCAGGATAATGCAAGAATCAATTGCACGGGCGGTATTCTGCTGGTATTTCTGGCAATTCATATTACATTCTATTTACAATAACATTACTGCAGGCAGAGATGTGTCTCAGGGTTAGTTCACACCAGATGCAGTTGTGATGCAGTCCTTTCAGTTTAGCTGCTGCAGCCAAAATACATCACAATGCTTTCCTAGGGGCTTTCTTGTGCTGTTTTCACACCATTGCAGTCTGTTCAGATGCAGTCAGAAAAAAATACTGCTCATCCTATTTTAGCTGCATTTGATCGCACTGGAATGTATCAAAACACATCAAAAACGCATGCAAATGCATCAAAATGCAACGGAACGCATCCAAAAAACCCCCAAGAAAACAGAGTTTATTGTGTCATCATACAGGGACTTCCTCTTTGTAGTTACTGCCAACACTATCACCATGCCTGCCAACAAAGCAAGGATGTCTGAGCTCCAAAACAAACAAAGGAAATGCTCTGACAGGAAAAAGGAAGTTACCTCATTGTCTAATTAGCATTTTAGTAATAAGAAAAAATGCATCAAACGTATCAAAATGCAACTGCGCAGACGCACACAGTTGTGATGCAGTTTCTGGTGTGAACTAACCCTAAAGAACGCCGCTTTAAAGTGATATTAAATTCAAAAATATTTTAAATTTTTTCAAAGCTGATTATATCACTTACAATGAATGTGTTCCTTGATGTTTAAAAGTTTTAGTTTCCTGCAGAATCAGCCGGTCTCCTGAGCCCTGGTCCTAACTTCCTGTATTGTAGTGACTCCTTTGTCAAGCAGAGTGTTATGCAGTCTTGTGTGCGCTAGTTAGCTGTGTGTGTCTCCACAAACACATAGACACAGCAAATCAAGCTATGACCCTCCCCCTGCCCCCCTCTCCTCCCTCTTCCCTTCTCCAAGCTAGTAGATGAACAGTTGCTGGGGTCTGCACTGTTCTTTGTGATCTTATACTGGACAGGAAGTTCAGGGAAGCTGAGCTAGGAGACTTGGAAGAAAGAGAACTGGAAAATATTCCCAATTTCCACCAGAGTAGTGCGCTTACTACTGTTTGTTTTATCGAGACTTGGAAGAAGATGTTCACAAACATGATGAGTGTATTTGTGCAAAAATGTAAAGCAATGCTTTGCTGGGCAATGCATATTTGTTTGATCTGGATTCATTATCTGAACAGGTTTGAGAGTTTATTACTACTTTAAAAATCTGTGGAACACATGCTATAGAATACCTACTGTACATGTATAATGTTTCTGAGATTAAGAAGGATTGGGCAATTCAAAGCTTAAAGGGAGTGTTAGGGCTTAGTGACATACTCCCCTCTGTCCACGGAGCAAGATCGAGAAGGTAAGAGAGAGAGAGGCAATTCAAAAAGCTGGCTCCTAAATGGCTACTGTTGTGTTAGCCAGGTGGTATAAAAAACGTTCTGACAAGCAAGGTTTAATGTGCATTTTGTGTTGTTTACCTT